AGGAGCATGCTAGCTATGGAGAGATCACTGAGTCAAAGGTTTTTCATGTCATGCTGGATGATTATTGCTTGAATTTATTGGCCATACTAAGTGGAAGAACCTTCCATCCCAAATTTACAAAGAGATAGATAATAAATTTTGCACTTAAATATTTTTCTCGCCGGTCCATTGTCCTTAATACGGCATTGCTGAAGGCAAACAGTTTATACAATAAGCTTGAACTTTTTGCATTGTCGTTAACATTTTTTTCCCGCCGGTATCAATCTTACAACTGGGCGCTTTAGTTTTTAATTTTTTTCTCCACTTGTGGGAAACAGGCGGGTCAAGGAGCGCTGCTACTGAATATTCTTTCCAAGTATTCTGAAGGTACTTGGCCTCTGTTTACTTTATTCAAACAAAAAAAATCACCTTCAATTGTATTCATGTTCTTAGTTGATTCTTTGTTGATCTTTTTAAACTTTCATTATAAATGAATTGAGCCATTCATTAGCAGTTTGGGTATTCATGTTTATGTCCTTGGCTCGTCTTATAAATGATCCAAAGTGAACATGCCTTGTTTCTTTTTAACTCAATAGTAATACAATGTACTGACATACTAATGTTTTATGTTATCTTTTAGCAAAAAAATTAAATGGATTACTATAATTATAATGATATTATTTTCCTAGTCATGCATTTCTCTTATTATTAAGAATTCCGTCTGACATTCTGCAAATAACGTTATGAACAAGAATATTTCTTGTTGAACTTTAAATACAAGTTCACATAGAACAGCAAACAGAAATGTAGTATTTGGGGTCGTCTAATAAAGGATCCGACCATGAACGACTTCCAGCTCTGTTAATTTTCAGCCTTAATTACATAACATCCCACCCCCAAATAATTATACTTAATGCTAGCTCTTAGTGGAGTTGCCATTTTGTTTTTGGAAACAGCATTCTCTTCAATGGTAGAAGGAAAAAACGAAGAACTGTCAACATCCGAGCTGTCTGGTGGAGCAAGAATTCATTACATTTTCCAAAATATATTTGTGAAGAGCTTGGAGGTTTGTGTTGTTCATTTGAATGTTATCGACATGGATCGTGATTTCTTAATTCTTACATTGTGAATTCTGTTGTAAATTGTTTTCCAACTTAAAATGTGAATTTGGTTGAGTGTATAGAATCCAGTCCTTTGTAGGATGTACAAATCATCACTGCAGTAATTATGGCAGTTGTATATATAGAGAGAAAAAGCTAAGATTTTGTGAAACAAGAGGGTAAAAGGTATACTAAGTAAATAAAAATGAAAAATTTCAAACATTAAATAAAAAATAGCATTTGCTTCCCCAGTCGATGGAGACGCTTTGAAGAATTGTTTACGAATTACAATTTTTCTGTAAAGGGCATTTAGATTATTCCTTCACAAGTCTTTACATCAGAAAAAATATCGGCAATCTTTTGGTTTTATTATTCAGTCATAGATGCCATTACTAAGTGCTGTCAACATTGATGAAATTCTAGATATAAGTTTTTTGCCCTTCTCTCCTCTTTGGCAGGAGGTAGACCCGTGCGAGGACCTAACAGATGATGATATCCGCACTGCCATTCAAAATGCAACTGGACCCAAATCTGCATTGTTTGTGCCAGAAGTAGGTCCTCAATACCAACAATCTCTCTTCACTGTGCTGTATCTTTAATTTCCTTCAAAATCTGAAGAATACTGCTACTTGTACACAATGGAGTTATACAATGGTTTATATACCGATGAGGTGTAAAAAAGAAGGAATTTTTTTTTTTGTTTTTTGGTTGAAGAAAATTTGACCCAATCATATCTTACCATATCATGTGTATGTAAACTATTATATAAATCATTATGTACGTGCAACACAATCGAAATCTAAATGCCTTCTCTTTTCCTTTCCCTTATTTTTTTGTTTTTTAAAGAAAAAAAACTGACCTTCCATCTAACCTTTAGCATGCAATATATATCCAAACTTGTAGGTTCCATTTGAAGTTCTAATTAGAAGACAAATAGCTCGGTTGTTGGATCCAAGTCTTCAATGTGCTAGGTTCATTTATGACGAGCTAATAAAGGTACATCTTGCTAGTAAATTTCTAGTGCTTTTTAGGTTCATTTATCTTTGCGTCTGGGCATTAACTTCAATGTTTCTTTTAGATGAGCCATCAATGTATGGTCAATGATATGCAACGGTTTCCGTTCCTAAGAAAGCGCATGGATGAGGTTATAGGTAATTTCTTACGAGAAGGTCTTGAGCCTTCAGAGACAATGATAGGACACATTATTGAGATGGAGGTACACGCGACTCCTTTACGGCTTTACCTTCTTGTATTTCTGCATTATAGCAATTTATACCTTCAATGAATAGAGTGCAAGAGCTGCTCGGTAATCTGTGACCTAAGAAGCACCGACACGGACACGAGTGTCCGACACGATACGTGTCGGACACGTCGACACGTGATTTTTCAAAAAAGTTTCGACACGATACGCTGTCGACACGTTAATTAAAAAATATTTTTTTAATTTAATAATCTAAAGTAATATTTTTTTTATATTTATTGCATCATATATGAATAGTTAAATAACAAATAAAAGTCAAACTTTTTAGTAAAATTAGATTTTTCAGTAC